AATCGAATATTGAAATGCATTTGTGCGGCATAGATTGACCGTCCGTTTCCGAGTCTCTGCTTATTACCTTGAACTTTTGTACCTCACCCCTAAATCTGATTACTCTCGATTGAAAATACAACCCTCGCCGTAAGCGGAGAAAGGGGCTGCCCGTATAATCCTACATGCTTGCGCAGTGACATAGGTAGAGTATCTTTCATCTTTGCATATCCCATAAAAATGGAAGCTGACTGTACAGACCACGTATTGCAGACATCTGTTGAAAACGTTAAGGAGCCATAGCTTTATGTATCTTAGACTGCTCGGAATGCGATGATAGGTGCAGATAATAAAGCAAATCTGAACTTGTCTTAAAATCATTTGGTTTCAAGAAGTAATTTACAGGTCGATAATATGTTGAAAAGGAACTTGGACAATGAGAAGGCATCAGCTTTTCTTGGTGCTGATGAGATTGTTAGCCGCGTGGCCATGCTTCTACTCACAATCACCAACAATTGGGCTAGAGCTCAGTCGGTTTCCATGGGAAACATCAAAGCTGCAGCTGGCGTATGAAAGAAACACAACGTGCCCGTCTTCTCCGACACCTGCCGATTTGCAGAGAGTGTCAATTTTATCCAGGACTTTGAGTCTGGATACCACGACAGAAGCATCCCATAGGTTGTCGAGGACATGCTTGCGTACGCAAACGGCTTCATCATTTACCTCAACAACGATGGTCCAGCGAGGGTGGGTGGCGCACTCTGCTTCCGAGACCGGGGCATCTTTCCGATTCAATTCGGCGTCGACATTGGGATTCGCCTAAAAGAGAAACAGATCATGTGTGACTTGCTTCAATTTCACTGCGGACGTGAAGCATGTGAAGTCAGAGGCGGCAGTGTGTTTCCCTGTTCATGACTATGCCGCTGATGATGCTGAGTTGCGCAGGTGGATAGATACCAATTTGGGGAGTGCTGATGAAAAGGCTCTGGAGACATATCAAAGGGCAGTTGATGTCGTCGCTCATCGGCCTTTGCAGGATGGTCGGGGGATTCACGCATGGGTCGGTTTCAAAATGACGAGAAGCCGAGGGTCTGTAGTTACCTTCTACCTGGCTTCTGAGATGTTCGGCGTGTTGCCAAAGAGGCTGTTAAAGTGCTTTGATGGCGGCATCATAAACATCATGGTGGATTTTCGAAACCATGAGATGCTACTCAGCCTCGTCTGAGACCTAGAGAGCTTGAAAGAGGTAATACTCAATAATCCATGGTTGAATAAGCTTTGTAATGCTGTCATAATCATTTTCGTTGTATAATGGACTCGTTATGCTCTTCTATTGTAGGTATGGTTGGTGCCTTTCCTTCGTTGTTCTGCGTGAGACAGTGTCAATTGGAATTGGGGTGCTTTTAATTTAATATTTCGTTCCATTGTGACAAAGTGCTATTGCTACAACTTTGCCTTTATCTCGCAGTTTCTATAGTCTCAATTTTGGAAGGTGCTAAGAACGAACAGGCAAATCATCGCACTTGCGGGCTTCTGGATCTCGCCTACACGCGGACATAGAATTTATATCACCGCCCCATGGTTGCTCTCGAATCTTTGGTCTCACCTCTTTCCATTACACCACGCATCAAGCGAGAGTACAGCTTGGAACATCTCGCATATCAACTGACATGGTCGGCATGCCTGCACGAGCCGATTCGATACATGCGCGCAGTGAGGCGGTAGCACCGACTACGCCCTCCACAGCCCAGCTTTGCCACATGCTTCGACTCCCCCGAGAGATACGCGACATGATATATGAAAGCGGACTATTTCCGCAGCATTCCACAATTCTGCTCTCATTCGAGCGCCACCAGAAGCATCAATTCGGATGCAGGCTCTTCTGCACATGTTGGCAGCTCAGAGCAGATGCCATTGACTTCGTCTGTGATCGAAACTACTTCGTCATTGCGTTCAATTTACCATCAAGTCATTTGCACGAAACGAGGTTCCAGAGCGTGACCTCTTGGAAGGCATTCATTCATGATCCAACATTTCTCCCATTGCTCGAGAATGTTAGGTTTCTTCGGCTGCAAATCCCTCAGATGGTGATTGTGGATGATGGACTCGCTCTGGCGCAATACCTTGTTCAGTATGCGGTTCGCCTGGAACGATTGGTAATCCAAATTTGTGCAGCAGAGGACAGGCGCCTCAATGCCATGCGTATTCTTTTCAACCAACGCTCAGGTGGCCGATTCCTTGGTCGACTTCTTCATCTGCCATCCCTCAAAGTTCTGCAAGTCTCTCAGTCAGACCAGACCGACGATTGGATCACCGATGGTTTTCAGCCTGAGACGAATTGTCGGGTGGAGTTCATTTGCGACGGCCATCACTTCCCGCTCAACACGACAGATTTCTGGAATGCTTATGTTTCACAAGTATGGGATTCCCTGAGACAGAGGGCTAAGTCTCTGGACTGCAAGGCTTTACCTCGGTCCTCTGAGGAACACTTTGTTCATTTCCGCGGTGGCGACGTACATCCTCGCCCTATCTTGCTACAACACATTTGCACTGTATTGGGTTGCAAGGCGCTTGTGATAGTGCACATTGAACACCCTCACATGAGTCTTGCATTTGAAGATGGCAAGGAGGTATACAGAAAGTATCCAGAGATGCGCAGCTTTCGGCTTTTGCATCCTAACCGCCATCACGGACCGGACTGGTGGTGGATGTATGGGGATCAAGCATGACAAGAAGAGACAGTCTAGCTGAGAACGAGAGACTCTGCAGAGCCAACAATTGTATCTGAGGTGCAGGAAGACGCTAGATGATTTAGCTAGTCGAATGCCTGCGACACGACTGAATTGAAGAGAAGTAGCGTTCTGCATTACCAGACTTGGGAACATCTCTTGAGAGTAGCAGCCGAGCATCAACCGTGACAATTACGTGCTGCTTCTTCATAGCAACTCTTCCCATGTTCCGCAGAGCTGGCCTTCCTATCCTGGAGTTGTCCCCGCCCTCAGCATCCACTTGGATCCACGATATGGATCACATCGGCCCTATGGCGCAACGGTAGCGCGTTCGACTCCAGAATCTGTCCTGCGACCGTTTCTGAGCTGAAATCGAAAGGTTATCCGTTCAAATCGGGTTGGGGTCACCTCTTTTTGCCCCTGGAGCTTTCGTGAGTTTTTATTTCGCTCCTGTGATGTGTGGTTGTGGTGTTGAGCGATGTTCATATGGGCTGGTAGCATGCCTGCGCCCCACGTGATTGCAGAGCTGCGAAGTAGTTTAGTGAGAAAAACTCAATTGAGATATGCTTGTTCGGCAGTTATCTTTAACTTCCTGTGCCATATGTTTAGTCCCGGTGTGTGGGTTTGTCGGATGTAGCCGTGTTGCGAGCCAGGGTTCGCGTGTCAGACCTCGCTCACCGAACATGCACACCGACAAAGCCCGCGGCACCAATTCCCTCTTGGAGGGAGATCAGGATAGGCAGTTGCCAATTTCGGAGCCTTAAAATATCGTCTCATGAAATTCCTAGTTCAGATTTTGTGCATATTGTCAGAGTCATGGAGGCACCCGGAAGCCTGGGATTCCCAAGCAAGAAAAGCAAGGGATGCCAAGGGCATTGACGGAGTAACCCCGAACGCCCGGGAGCATGTGGTCCAAGCTTTCGGGTATCACCCGATGCCTCCGCATTCACAGGCTTTGGAGATGCTTCCGGACAACTCCGGCATCGCCGCTGTGAGACTGCTGCACGACATTCAGTAGCCGTACTGACCAGTTCATAAGGTCCAGGACAAACTTCTGAACTTATAGCATCTCATATACGTGCTTCATTTGCCTATATTGACCTTTCTACCCAATCCGATCCTGCAATGTCTTCTCGAGCCCTTGAAGCCCTCCGCAAGTTCACGGCCTGTGACGTAAGTATCAACGCCGCCGGGCTGAACACGATCAGCGGTCATCTCTGTAGCCCAGGCAGCCTCACTCGCAACATGATTTGTTTCTGACAAAGGTAAAGATTGGAGATGCCCTTGTGAAGCTCAAGTACCCCCAGGGTGGCTTCCTCGATGGAATCCGGATGTTTTCCCCCGGCTCCGGCACGCGCATTTTCGGCCCCGCAGTAACGGTGCAGATGGTCGAGACCAGCGATACTTCGGCCCCGAAGCTGGACAAGCACTTTGTCGACCACAATGAAGAAGGTGGCGTCATGTACATTCAGCAACCTAAGGGCCTCCCGTCGGCGTGCTGGGGCGGTTTGATGTCAACTCGGGCCAAGTACCTGGGTGCGCAGGGCGTTGTGATTGACGGGCGAATGAGGGATGTTGGGGAGCACAATGAGATGGGATTCCCGGTAAGTTTTAGCGAGCGCGAAGAGCTTGTTTCTCGTCCGGCTTAATCCCACGATTCCCGTAGTGTAAACTCTACTAACGACATCGGCAGGTCTTTGCCCAGGGCACATCTATTCTGGGCTCGAACACGTTCACGCGGGCGTCGAGGGTCAACGTCCCTCTTCAGTTCAAGGGTGATCTCTGGATCAATCCTGGCGACATCTTGATTGGGGATGCGGATGGTGTTGTGGTGACGCCGCCTTCATTGGTCGAAAAGGTTGTCGCTCTGTGCCAGGAGCGAGCCGAGGTCGACGAGAAGATGTTTGTTGAGTTGAGAAAGGGTGCCTCGATGGGTGACCTGATCAAGAACGTGCGTAAGGACAAATAATTAGCCGGTCATTTACAGCCGGAGTATAGTAGGTACGAATTAAGATACGCGATGTTTCACGAGTGAAACCTTAGATGGTTGAAGGGAATTCTTTTACTCTCGGTAAAATTGCTGTGTTAGTGACTCGAGTTTAGTCTCGGCAAAGTTGTCGAATCTGGCGTGGAGTAGTTGTAAGGGGTATTTTTCAGGGGTTCTCACATGTCGCATCTGCCCTTTACGATTTCTGTAGATAGGGAACTGTGGGGGTAATGCGAGGTGCGAAATACTACAGCACAGAAGTAATGATAATTAATCTAAGTTCTATGCTGTACGGATGTGGTCTATCATCCAAATAATTCACTCGGGTTCCGTATCATCAACAAGTCCCATTCCTCATCTGACAGCCATGACTTGAGGCTCCTCAACCAAGCCGCATCGTCGACTTCCAGGTACGGCGTCTCCTTCATAGCCGCCTCGTGTGTTCTCACTTTCATCCGCGGCGTGTGGGGCCAGTCACTGCCCCAAAGAACGCGGTGCTTGTTAGCGTCCACAAATGCGCGGACCAAGAACTTGACGTCGCAGTAGTCCGGCTTCTCCTCGCTGATGCGGTACGGCGCACTCAGCTTCACCCAGAGGTGGCCGTCTCTGACTAGCCTCATGATGGCGTCGAACCCTGGTTGTGTCGTTGGCCGGTCGCGAAATTCCTCTGAAAGCAGACTTGGTGCCTTTAGGAGCGCGAAGTGATCTGTTACCAGCTTGACTCCATGTTTCGCAAGATTCTCCCTGACAAACGGTTCCAACTCCTCCCAGAAATCGGTCCGGGTTGTAGTCATCGTAAGGCTCCAGGGCAACGCCAGCGCCGTGATTCTCCGGAGGTGAGCTCGAAGAGCTACCTTTTGTAGTTCGACATCTTCCATGGCTTTATAACGATACAGATTGACACGAAGTCCCCGGACACCGGCTGCGTGCATTGCTCTCAATTCATCGTCGGTCGTCGTTTCTGGGTCTATGACACCGATCGCACGCGTCTTTTGCGTTCCCAGCCGAGGTACGAAGGCCTTTAAGGAGGTGCAGTCATCGCCATAGGATAGGCCATGAGTAAGGACAGATCTGGTGATCCCCAGGCTTTCCTTGAAGTTGTCAAAGGCAGCGATGGTCGCTGGAGGCGGTGTCAAGTGCCTGTTTGGACTGTAAGGGAAAGACTCGGCTATGACGAAGGGTATTTGTTAGTCTAAACTTCTCCGACGTGCACCTTACCGCGGGCTGTTCATCATGATTTGCAAGTGAGTTAGACTTACGTTCAAAGATATGATGGTGAGTGTCCCATCCACCGTGAGGAAACAGATTTTTCTCTGTTCTCTCGGTCTCTGTAGCTGAAGGGGCCATTGTGGATGTTGTCTGCAGCTCTTTGGTGTACTCCGTTACAAACTCGGCTCAGAACGACGACACCGAGAACCACCGATCCAACGATGATTCGCTTGTTATACACATTGTTGCTTCGGTTTCCGATTCGGCATCAGAACAACGCCCCGATCAACCGGCAGTATCCCGCGGGCAAACATTTTGGCAACATGCAAATGCTTCCCTCCAGCTCACGCGACGCAATCGTCACGCCAGTTTGTTAGTGGAGATGGTGATGATGATGATCCTACAAGGAGTAGTCCGTCGTGTTAGACGGATGGCTCCGATACGTCTCGGAATGCTCCCTGACAGGCGGAATGCTCCAGTGAGGCGGATAGCTCCTGGCTTTGGGACACCTGCGCCACACCACCCTCCGTGGAACGCGTGGATTCCGTGCGATGCGCGGATTCCTCCATCCCATGTTCCCGCCCTAGCGCCGCCACGAGAATACTTCGAACCATAGCATCTTAGTCTTTTCTTGACTACGCAGATATCGTCTAGTCGTGTACGTAGTGGATGTAAGTCACTTCCGTCATGTTCCCGGCAGATTACGAACACACCGAGTGTCACAAATGTCGAAGGGAGACGGACGGAGCTCCGCGTCTCACGGGTTCATGATCAGTGCCGAAGCTCACGGATGGCTCCTGTCTGAGGATACCGGGGCTCGTCCATGGGTTTTCGGGGCAGTCCAATATTGTGTACTGCTCAGCGGACTATGTAAGGCTGCCCAGAAGCGCACGCCTGCAAATATCGGTTCACTGGCTGTATGATAGACCTCTTGGCTTGACTGAATAGGTATTGGAAGATATCAACCATGAGTCGCAGTAACACGTCCCCGACCCCCTTGCAATCTGTGGTTGCTGGTGCAGCTGCTGGGGGAGTAGAGTCTCTAGTCACGGTATGTAAACTCGGTCTCGCTATTCAAGTGATTGCAAACACATTACAAAGTCTCTACTATGCTAACGTGAGTCAAGTATCCTACAGAGTACATAAAAACACGAAAACAATTGCTGAGTTCGTCCGAATCTCCACTACGAATTCTCGTCTCAGCCGTACGGACCTCTGGACCTGGCGTGCTGTACACGGGGGCCAGTGCGTTCTGCGTCTCCAATGCATCCAAGTCAGGCGTACGATTCTTTACATTCGATGCCATTAGGAAAAAGCTCCCGCAAGATGCCCAAACGGGGAAGCCAACCAAGGTTGCCAACATGCTTGCCGGTGTCGCGGCTGGCGTGGCCGAGAGCGTGACAGTGGTGACCCCTGGCGAGAACATCAAAACCAAGATTGTAGAAGACAGAGCTGGCGCCAGGCGATTCAAGTCGACAAGCCATGCGATCAGAAGTATCGTAGCCATGGAGGGCTTCGGAGGGCTTTTCCGTGGCATCCTCCCGGTGACTCTGAAGCAGGGCTCGAACGCCCTTGTTCGCTTTACCAGCTACAATGCTCTTCTCGACGTGATCAGCCCACCGATGGAGCTCCGTGGCAAGGGGTCTCTAGCTCCGGCTTTTGCAGGCGCTACAGCGGGCATCGTAACGGTCTACGCTACGATGCCTTTTGACGTCGTGAAGACGAAAATGCAAGCCCTTGAAGGTGCCAGTGTCCACCGTGGAACGTGGCAATGCGCATCCGCTATTGTTCAAGATTCCGGTGTATCAGGGCTGTGGAAAGGCACAACACCTCGGCTGGCGCGATTAAGTGTAAGTTCATTCTTCGTGAGATTGATGCCGCTTTGGTTCCGTCTCTGCGACCAGCAACAGAGCACTAAGGCGTCGCTGACAGCCACTTACCACGTGCCCTTACTGACGTGCAGTAGATATCTGGTGCATTGAGCTTCACTATCTACGAAAACGTTGTCAGGTTGATGCAACAGGGCAGCAAGGATGAGGGAAGAAGGTTAGAAGCCAAGTTGTGAAGAGCGATAGCTTGCCTACGTCGAAAACCTACTCGTAAGCCATCAAGGAACCATCAATGCTCAAACACCAGCCCTAGAAGCAGGGATACGGAGCTCCGCACTCAATCCAAGATGCATCTGATCTCGTTAGTCCCAACGGAAACGTGGGTGCATATCGGGTCAAATTGCCTGCCAAACTACAATAAGAATACGATACCGAGGCCGAAGGCAACTGTCAGTGATGTGTAATGGATAGTCTGCAGCCGTAAGCTGCATCGTGACTGGCTTCAGGAGAATAGACTCAGGAAAGTCCCCGGTGTCAAACTATGGAGACCGGATTTGACGCTACCATTGGTGTTTATACGGCAGATCTCCACAAACTGCCGAGGTGGAAAGACTCGTTTGGGGCACCTAGCGTTGCTTTCTCGCCTACTGAGACCGAAATATATTGCGGACAGTGGGCACTGGCCTAACAAAAGGTTTTGGGATCCGTACTGGAAAAAGACCAGACGGTCTCTACTCGCGTATGCTTTAGTGTGCATGGCTACATCCCGTAGGATGCCTTAGAGCAGCGAATTGCCTGCCACGGCATCCGTTGTCGCTAGATCCGGTGCTGCTGGCAACCCTGGTACATGCCTCTAGGTAGACAGAATGAGGAGAAGAAGAGCCTTTGCCATCGCTCCAGTTCACCCGAAACCCCTGTCCACTTGAGCCAGGCCCCTAATTATTTCCGTCTTTGCGGAAACAAATTCCCATTTTGCCTGCCCACATTGCTTACTTTTTCACTTTTACCTTACCTTGACCAGTGCGTCCGTCTCGCCCTGCCGCTCACCCGTCGTAGCTGTACCCCCCTCACCAGAATCAAGCCACATTCCGTCTAGAACAAGATGTGACAAGCCCCGTTCCCTACCTTGTTCCAGTCCGCCTTTCTGGGTCTCTATCGAACAGGGACTACAGCGGTTGACTTTCGGGGGTGCCACCGGCGCCGATTCATTTTCTCGTTGCTCACCTTGATCTGCTGGCCATGCCCCCAACAACTCTGTATCAATCACACAAACAACAGGAGACAAAAAATAATCGCAACGCTCACCAAACCTCACGGGAGATGTCATCGCGGATGAATCCGCCAAAGAAAGTGCGTCTGGCGTGTCGACGCTGTCGCACGAGACGGATCAAGGTGAGACCTTTTCCCTCCCCTCTCACATCGGCTCAGCTTCCGTCCCCCTGGCGTGCCGTCTAGTCTGCTGGGACCGCGTTACTCCGGCCCAATGACTTTTACGTGTCTGGATACTCACCACTTACCAGTGCGACGGAGAAGTCCCTGCCTGCACAAACTGCGCAAAAGCCGGCGAAACTTGCCTCGATGTCGACAGTCAGAACTCGGGTTTGCTGGTCCCTCGCAAGTAAGTCGACACCCACGTTTTCGCAAAGCTATACAAGCACATCCCACCGGCTGGGTTTTACGAGCTAGACCCCTTGTTGTTTGCTGCAAGTCACAAAAAACTTATGTTCCGCGCTGACGGCCCGATCCGGACGATAGCTTCGCAAGTGCTGCCCGGGCAAGGATTCAATGGCTCGAAGACATCATCAAATCACGGCTTCCCGACGTTGACCTATCCACCGGCCCGCAGATCGATGCGTTCCCGGACCCGAAGGGCTCGGCGGCCGTCGGCGGTGGTGGGGACCTTGAAGACGACAACGTCTCAACGCCGTCGCCTAGGTCCGGCCGGGCGGGCAGCCAGCCAACGGGCCGGACCGCAAGTCTGGGGTCCCAACGGCAGTCTCTCAAGCGTCCCGCGGAGGCCGCGGGCTCCTACGATCACGACGAGCAGTTCCCGGACCGCGCACACTCAGTTGCCATGAACCTGGGAATGTTGTCCCTCAGCTCCGACTCAAGCCAAAAACACTATCTGGGATCCAGCTCTGGTGTTTTGTTCACGAACCTCATTGGGGCGTCTCCTTCGAGCGCTGGGTCAACTCCGGCGGCGTTATTGGAAGATGTGCAAGCTCAAGGGCCCTCGTCGGAATGGTACGATACTTCAGTACCGACTGATATCTCTAAACAGTATAATCGCTCTCTACATATTTTCTTGCGCCAGGTTCGTCTGATAGCTTTTGCTGGACTTTGTACAACGGGATTTAGATACTAATTTGAAATAAACAGGAATTACCAAGGAAAGAAGATGCGATCAAGCTTGTACACACCTATGTCCGTTGGATGCATCCCGATTATCCAGTTCTAGAGCCGACTTCTCTTTTAAGCGCGCTCGATGCCCTGTACTCGACGTTCAGCTGTTCACTAGACGATGACCCCTTCCCCCACGGCTGGCCTTCTACTATGCAAGCGTTCCGGTGGAATGGCAGACAGAGACTCCCCGGCGACCAGGGCGTTCATTCCGTTCCTATGCCAGTTGTCGCCTTTATACTCTTCATGGTTTTCAACATTGCGGCCATTGTCAAGGTTAGGGGACGCGTATACGAATTCCCACCAGAAAGGTTCTACCGCGCAGCTCTCCATTTCTCCAAGGATTGCTTTTCGCAAATCTCTTTATCTTCAATCCAAGCGTTGGTTGTTCTCATCGTACACAGCATGCTCACGCCAGCGGAGGTCAATCTGTGGACTCTGATCCATATTGCTCTTGCTCATTGCGTCGAGCTAGGCATACATAGAGAGCCGCTAAACACAATCGAGCCAGCAGACTTTGAGAATCAACAGATCAGGCGTCTAACATTTTTTACGATATACTCTCTCGATAGGTGAGTCCTCCGAGAAAGTTTTTGCAATCTTCTTGTCATCTATTCCTAACCAATCTAGATCTGTATCTTCCATACAAGGGCGACCACTCGGCTTCCGCGACGAAACGTTCGATATCAAGTTGCCCGAGTCTCCTCCCGCACACACCGGTTCAGCGAGCGGCACGATTCCATTGTCTTTCTCTACAGCCGTTTTGCGGTTCGCAAGATACCAATTTGAGCTAGACCGCATGGTCTCCGATGTCAAACTCCAATTATACCATCTTCCATGCGATTCGGCATGGTTCCCTCTACCGCAAGACCCGCCGGCTCAACAGGCGAGAATAAAAGAAGAACTCGTGGACTGGTGGGATCGGGTTTCTAGCGAGACGTTCGACTTTCCAGGAATCGACAACAGACAACGGCGGATGTGGCAGATCAAATTGAAGGTCAAGTACCACACAACTATGGTGATGCTGTTCCAACCTTCGCAAGCGATCCGCAATCCCTCCCCAGAGTCGTTGCAGGTTTGCTTTAATAATGCCGCATCTATACTTCACGATTACCAGGCACTGCACGACATGCAAGGTTTAAATCACGGCTGGCGCACAGTCCAGAACATCTTTGCCGCTGGAGCTACCCTCATATACTCGTTCTGGACGTGTGCTACGGTTCGTCAAAACGCATCAACGGCGGACTTATCGAAGAGTCTTCGCACATGCTCAAGCCTGCTTACAGTCGGCGGCGAGTGGTGGCCATCCGTCAAAAAAGGACAACGAAGTTTCGGCGCAATTGTTGACCTCACTATTCGAAAGCTCTACACCGGAAATATGCCCTCGAAAAACCCTCGGTTATACGTGCCACTTGGTGCAGACCGGCTTGAGGATGGCCAAAACGCCCTGGACCACGCTGACGGAGGGCATTCCGTCTATGACGCAACGGCCCAGCAGGCAGACCTCGCCCACATCCCGCTCAACGGAGCCGACGCTGCTTGGCACCAGATGCCGGGCTCGTCCGCTGTGGCCATGGCGCACTCCCAAGACGCAGTGCCCTGGCAAGGCGTCTACCCCGAACCACCCTTCCATGCGGGATCCAACGACTACGTGCCGGAAATCGAGACTTTCCTGGCCGACTTCGACAAGTCGGAATTCAGCTGGAGCTTTCCATTAGCCGGCATCGGCGACCCGTATGAGATGGGCAACTTTCCCAACCCAAGCTACTGATTATGCCGTTCTCCGTCATCATTCTGCCGAAGTGTTCCAGCCATTGAGGAGAATCCTATTTTAGTGGAATCAGCAGTCTCAGCTGCTGTGGTTCTAGAGCGGGAAGCGGACTACTCCGGCTAGACTATTGTTTTTGGTGGTGGACGGAGTAGTCCGCTAGCAGATCCCTGCACAACACCTGGACTACTCCGTCTCTTGCCCAAAATGGCCTCGAAGACGGAGCTGTCCAGCAATTGGCAACCGAGGATTCATAGCTCTTCGAGCATTGGCGTCGCGAAACATGAAGATTTGAACATCTTTGCGCAGCAGATCACAAGTGAAAAAGATGGCAGTGTTCCCCCGCTCTTGGCGGGTTGATTTGTTGGTGCAGATGCTGCAATCATGTCGTCCACGCTGTTGAGGGAGGCCCGATCGAAAGCATGCTCGTCACTCCGACAGGGGTCTCGCGCTGTGCGGACAAGACATTTCGCAACTCCATCAGGGCAGGTCGCTTTGAGTCCTTTGGAACCGGTAAGTTGATCTTGACTGCTTGAAAAGATTAGAAGGTTTCCTGACTTGGTTCCAAGTATAACACGTTAGACTACGGCCTTCGGTTACAAGCCCTCCGCGACGTTCAAAAAGCCAACAAACGACCCCTGACACTGTCTGAAAAGGTTCTCTACAGTCATCTGATACCCGGTGAGGAGGGATGGGTTCTCGACGAGATAAAGAGAGGCAAGACGATACTGCGTTTGCGACCGGACCGCGTTGCCTGTCATGACGCGACGGCGACCATGGCTTTGCTCCAATTCATCAGTGCTGGCCTGCCGCGAGTCAGAGTCCCAACTTCGGTTCACAGCGACCACTTGATCGTGGCCGAAAAGGGAGACAAGGAGGATTTGTCAAGAGCTGCCAGCGACCACCGGGAGGTGTATGCCTTTCTGAGTTCCGCGACGAAAAAATACGGGATAGGATATTGGAAACCGGGCGCCGGCATCATTCACACAACCATCTTTGAGAACTACGCTTTCCCTGGTGGTCTGATGATTGGTACGGATTCTCACACACCGAACGCGGGTGGCATGGGTATGCTGGGAATTGGCGTTGGCGGCGCCGATGCGGTTGACGCAATGTCCGGCATGCCTTGGGAACTCGCCTGTCCGAAGGTGGTCGGCGTGCGTCTGACGGGCAAGCTCCAGGGATGGAGCTCTTCGAAAGACATCATCTGCAAGCTTGCGGGCATCCTCACCGTTGCTGGAGGTAAAGGGAAGATCATCGAGTTCTTCGGCCCCGGCACCGAAACCCTCGGAGCGACTGCGATGGCTACAGTCTGCAACATGTCTGCAGAAATCGGCTCGACGTCCTGCATATTCCCCTATTCGGAAGCCATGTCACGTTATCTTTCGGCGACAAAGCGGGAGGGCATCGCCAAGTACGCCGACTCCTTCAAGCAGGAGCTTCTTATTGCCGACGAAGGCAGCGACCGATACTACGACGACATCATCGAAATCGACCTATCGACCCTCGAACCCCACATCAACGGCCCCTTCACTCCCGACCTCGCCCACCCCCTCTCTCAGTTCAAAGCCCATGTTAGCGAAAGCTCTTGGCCTACGAACCTGAGCTGCAGCCTCGTGGGCAGCTGTACCAACAGCTCGTACGAGGATCTCGAAAAGGTCCGCGACCTTGTGATACAGGCGAAGAAGGCTGGGCTGGATCGCCCAAAGACACCATTCCTGGTCAGCCCAGGAAGCGAACAGATCCGAGCGACAGCTGAAGAGGAGGGTATTCTTGAGACGCTACGACAAGCTGGTGCCACCGTCTTGAGCAACTCTTGCGGGCCTTGTGTAGGTCAATGGGACAGGAAAGATGTCGATGTCAAGGGGGCTGAAAAGAACTCCGTCATCTCCAGCTTCAACAGAAACTTCACAGGCCGTCACGATAGCAACCCTGCAACCCACTCTTTTGTCACATCTCCAGAGCTAGCAACAGCTTTCGCTTTCGCAGGCAACTTGACCTTCAACCCCATCACAGACGCAATTCCTGTGCCCGGTGCGACAACCCCTTTCCGATTCACACCTCCAAAAGCGGAAGAGCTTCCCGTCGCCTTCTGCCCTGGCGCCGATCGATTCCAACCGCCAGTGATGTCCGACACCTCGGACCTGACTGTCAATATCGATCCTAAGAGTGACCGACTACAACTTCTGACACCGTTTGAGCCGTGGCAGCCAGGAAACGCTAGTAACCTGACTGTCCTCATCAAGGTCCGCGGCAAGTGCACAACAGACCACATCTCCCCCGCAGGTCCTTGGTACAACTACCGCGGCCACCTCGAGAACATCAGCAACAACCTCCTCCTCGGCGCCACCAACGACTTCCTGCCAGATGCAAGCACCCTCCAGATGATTGGCAAGGCCAAGGACCCCGTTGACGGCGACAACATCAAGCCTGTACCTCAGGCAGCGCGGAGCCTGAAGAAGGCGGGGATCAGGTGGTGCATCATCGGCGACAACAACTACGGCGAAGGCAGCTCCCGTGAGCACGCTGCTTTGGAGCCCCGGTACCTGGGTGGCGTTGCTGTAATCACCAGGGGCTTTGCCAGAATTCACGAGACGAATCTGAAGAAGCAAGGAATGCTCCCTCTGACATTCGCTGACCCTGCCCACTACGACACGATTCGGGATGGAGATAAGATCACACTGTTGGATGTGGAGGAGGGAGAGTTGCAACCCGGGAAACAGGTCACGATGGAGGTTGTCACGAAGGAAGGCTCGAGGTGGAAGGCGAAGCTGAATCACTCGTATGAGCTGAATCAGATCGAGTGGCTGCGGGCTGGCAGTGCACTCAACTATATCAAGCGAGTTGCCCTTGGACAAAGCGCATGATGCTGTAGTGGTAGAGCTTCTGTAAACATCATCTCGAGGCGGCGTTCTGGACATGATACATCAACTGCATATTTTGGTAGAGAATCAACACAAGCGCTTTTGCATCAGACAGAATCTGAATCCTCGATCTTAGTGTGTTCCTTTTCTCGAGGTGCATTTTCGTCATGTCATCCTTCAGGTTCTATGGCCTACTATGCAGCTCATCAAGTTCCCGGTCTTTCTCTTCTCTTGCCACCCATTGCTATCGTCTCTTCTTTGGCCATCCCAAGTCAAAATAATCTGCCACGGTGGAAGGCTCTCCGCTATGGGGTCGCGCTATCTGCAAATCATGACCTCCGGAATCGTAATCATTTCACGCCCAGTCAGTCCCCGCAATCTTCTGTCTAATGCCCCACAACCCCGGAACGAGCAGACCATATGACGAGGTTGGGAATTTGTGGTCATTACTATTGGGTGTCTGGAAGCAGCCGGATCACCGGTGAACACAATTGGGCCGGCCGTCGTCACCACGTGCGCGTGGCCCCCGACATCATGAGTGCCTCACATTTCATACAATAGCCTCACGGAACAGTCCTTCCTCCTATTCACGGACTCCTCCTACCCACGGTCTTCTCCGCTGACTCGCGGATGGCTCCGGGAACGCTAGAATCCTGGTCTTGGCTTAGGTCCAACTGGTCCGGATGGTGACTTTGAGTGGCTGGACTGACCCGAAAAACGGAGGAGTCCATCGCACTTCTCCGGTGCAGCAGGACTGCTCCGTCGTCCAAGAAACGATGGCTAATCCATCTTTCGATTGCGGGTCTGGGGAAGAGGAGACGAACGCAATAAGCTTACAGCGGCCATATTCCACAGCCAGAGAACTGGGTGTCTGTGGGACACGCCAAAATCTGGGGTCGCTTTCGGGGTATGCGGGGTAGGAAGTTGGGGTGAACGTCCTGTTGTTTGGCTTCTGCAAGGTCGTCCTGGGCTAGGCCCAAGTCTGGGCAACAAAAGACATCAAGTCGAGGGTGACTGGCGTGTCTTTCTGACATGAAGTTTAAAAGAGGACAGACGACGGTTGGTTTCCAAAGTTGTTTTCCCAGGGCCTGGAGACTTTCTCTTCATCGACTTCAGAGACTTTACTGCTGAACTTCAAGTCATTGGTTGTCTGGATAGTCGAGACGTCGATTCCTATATCTCCGAGTCCGAAGATCTAAGGTTCGAGAGCTTCTCAGCACACCTTTTCTCGAAAATCCAACAGGCGAGCAAGATGGCCGTCCGCGAAGCCGAGACGAAACAAGAAGCCATGCAGGCCACCTCAGATCACATCGACAGCACGGTTCCCGTCGGCGAAAAGGACTTCGTGTCTGAAAAAGACCTCAATGGCGATGATCTGGGGATGTCCGAGGAAGAGTACGCCGCCGTTGAGAAGAGTCTTACGAGGAAGCTCGACTTCACGTTGGTACCGGTTGTTTGGATTCTCTATCTCTTCAACTACCTCGACAGGAACAACATTGCGTAAGTCTCAAATCGGCGACTGTTATGCTCATGGGTTCGGAAACTGATGGTCATTTCACTCTAGTCAAGCGCGACTGAGCACCTTTGAGAAGGATCTCGGACTCACTGGCAACCAGTTCAACGTCGCTGTGTCTATCTTGAATATTGGCTACATGCTCATGCAGCTACCAAGGTAATCGGCCTTATTTGCAAACTCTTCACAATGACCAATGCTAACAATGGGAAAGCAACATGCTCCTTACTCGAACCCGACCGTCTCTCTACATTCCCGCATGGACAGCTCTCTGGTCAATTGTCTCCGCCGCTACAGCAGGAGCAGGGAACTATACACATCTTCTTGTCATTCGATTTTTTTTGGGAATTGCGGAGGCACCCTTCTTTCCGGTTGGTCCTGGCACATGCGTCCTCTTTGACTACCGCTGATGTTTGGTTAGGGTGCCATGTACCTTCTGAGTTGTTGGTATCCTCGAAAAGAGCTTGCATTCCGCACCGCTATTCTATACTCTGGCGTTCTCCTTGCGACGGCATTCTCAGGACTCATCGCAGCCGGCGTTCTCTCAGGGCTTGAGGGAGCTCGGGGTATCGCCGGATGGCAGTGGCTCTTCATAATTGAGGGTGCAGGCAGTTTCGCCGCGGCCATCCTCGGGGCTATGCTTCTCCCGGATTTCCCGGGGCAGAAGTCGGGTGTTGCAAAGTGGCTGCTCACCAACAAGGAGCAAAAGGTTGCGGTTGAGCGTATCCGAAGGGACAGAGTGTCGCTGCCAGAAGCAGACTCTAGTGTATGGAACGGACTCAAGCTCGCTGTCAAGGATGCTCGAACATGGGTTTTCGTAAGTTGATACCTATCTGCGCTCTTTGTGGAAGAAAACTTAAGATTAACATTTATGGGCAGGTGGTCATGCTCACGGCCAATCACAGCGCCTACGGATTCAACAACTTCTTTCCTACGATTGTGAAGGGCTTCAAGCTCGGTAACAACACCCTGACCCTGATCTTGACCGCACCGCCCTATCTTCTCGCAACGGTCGTTGCCTTCTTGACGGCATTCTCTTCCGATCGTCGTAAGGAGCGGGGCTTCCATATCTCAGTGCCTCAGGGGGTTGCATGCATCGGCTTCATCGTTTCAGTATCGACCATCAACAACGCCGCTCGCTATGTTGCTGCTTTCCTTTACATCTGCGGTTGTTTCTCGAGTAACGCAATGGTGTTCAGCTGGGCTAGCTCCACCCTGAACCAGACGCCTGAGAAGAGGGCGTGTGCGACAGCTATCATTAACTTGCTCAGTCAGCTTGGCAACATCTGGAGCCCCTACTTCTTTCCATCGACAGATAGTCCGAGATATGTCATGGCAAACCTGCTTATGATGGCCTCGTCGGCGCTGAGTATTGTCACTTGCGCCATCATGAAGGTCATGTTGACTAGAGCGAACAAGAAGCTGAAGGCCGAGGGAAGGGACACAAATTTGTTTACGCTCTAAGAGCGGTAGCTCGCGGTAGCTGGCGATAGCTGGTATAGAACAGGCGGGTTCAAATTCTTGAACGCTACGGTGTACACGCACGTGACGATGGCTAGATATCCTGAGTAATTGCTACATGTTGCTGAGCTTTTGAACCACGCATGTGGTTTCTTGAAATCTTCATTTTATTGGCCCGTCAAATGATGTTCCTCTCTTTGAAAGATGCGCCGGCGTGTCGGAATTCCCGTGAGGACGTGAACTCTCCTCGGTGTTCGGGGCCCGACGCGGGGCATGAGGGCACGTACTTCATCTCATGTTGATTCAAAGTTCCTACGTCACCGGCGGGGGACGGAGATTGAGTCCGACATTAGAGCTTGGACACCTAGATATGATAAAGCTTACAAGAGCTCTTATCCTGGTAAAGATGCGCTGTCTTGTGCTTAGGCGTTGAGTTACATGCCTTAGATGACCTGCTCGCACTATTCGCGGCGCGAGCTGGGCCGAACCGCATTTCGACGTCCGAAGGCCTGCATACTGGCAGTGAGAGGACTAATCCAAACTTCAAATTACGGGTTTGAATGCTATGAAGCATGGTCAATAACATAAATGACTGTTGTTGGCGTGGCGAGCTCGTCTTTCGCGCGGTGGATGTGCACGAATTGCATGACGGAAACTCAACCTCATGTACCGAGGACTTATTACGCTTACTGTCACATCCGGCAGAACCTTATCATCAGACAAAATAAATACCCAACAAGATGACAACAAAGAATTTCCCCTCACTTCATTGTACGGTACTCGACTATACGACCTGTTCCTTTACACTACCAGACCAGCATGGCGCCCATCAAGAAGGACTTCGAAATCGCCATTATCGGCGGCGGAATAGCCGGAGTCGCCTTGGCCATTTCGCTCGTCAAGCGCAACATTCCTTGCACCATATACGAAAAAGCGCACGCCTTCGGCGAGATCGGTGCAGGATTGGGCATCACTCCGAATGCCACCAGAGCCATGAAGGCTTGCGACCCCGTCATATACCAAGTTTTCGATAGGGTCGCGCAACCAGCTATTCTTTGGACTTTCTTTGATGGTTCAGATGAGAAGAAAGACGATGAGCCCATTTTCACCCTCGGAGACGCAGAGACCGGTATCAGGGGCTGCCACAGGGCTCATTTCCTAGACGGAATGATCCAGCACCTTCCAAAAGACATGGCCAAGTTCAACAAACAATTGGACCGTATTGAAGAGTCGTATGGTTCTTCAGGAAAACTGAGAATGGTGTTCCAGGACGGTTCTACTGCCGAAGCAGACGCCATTGTCGGATGCGACGGAATCAAGTCTCGCACCCGCGAAATCGTCGTGGGAAGCGACCATCCGTCTGCGACATGCGGGTTCACGCACAAGCACTGCTATCGCGGCTTGATTCCAATGGAAGAGGCTCTAGAGGTAATTGGAAAAGAAAGAGCAATGGGTTCAAACCTGTGGGTAAGTGATCGTAGATCTTCCTATGGCATGATCTTACTAACTAAATCGCCCAGTCTGCCAATAAGCGGCATATAGTGACCTACCCAGTAGCAAACGGTACCATCCTGAACATAGTGATGCATTGCACAAGCGATGGGGACTGGCCCAGCAGCACGAATTTTGTTCTACCAGTCGGAGAGGAAGGCTGTTATGCGGATTCTGAGGGCCTATCCCCCAGATTACGACGATTGGTCAAGAGGATGAAGTCTGTCGACAGGGTGGGTGCAGTCCATACTCCATGACTAGGTACCTAGAGACATTGAAAACCACCAAAGCTGACAAAATCTAGTGGGGATTATTCGACCTCGGGGACCACCCTGTTCCGACCTTTTCCAGAGGGCGCATCTGTCTCATTGGCGATGCTGCGCACGCGAGCACACCTCACCAGGGCGCCGGCGCCGGACTTTGTATCGAGGATGCCGCTACCCTGGCGTCGTTACTGGCCGATGACCGAGTTGAAGGTCGGGACGACATCTCGGCGGCCTTCGCAGCATATGATCAGTGTCGTCGAGATAGAGGACATCGACTTGTGGAGGGAAGCCGGCGCATTGGGGAGCTATACGAGGGTCAGACCGAGGTTGGAAAAGACTTTAAAGCTATAGAAAATGAAGTCCGGATAAAGGCAAAGGACATATGGGAGTTCGACATTAACGAAAGCATCCATCATAGCCTGGATGATTTAGGGAGACGTCTGGCGGTCAAGACGGGGGCAACGAACTACATGCAGGGGAACTTCCGTGCGGGTTTGTAGAGAATATTTCTCGTATCAAATGACTCAATTATCGCCATACGGCCCCGCGACAGGATGTGTGTTATCCATGGATTACTTTACTTTTTGAAGCGTCTTGGGTAGTTTTGATCCACATTGTTGCGGCAGGTTGGCCAGGACATCTAGCTCGACGGAAAGGGTACACCTCGAAATTTCTGTTGTAGCAGTCTTACAGCCTTGGAAAGCCGTGTAGTCGATTTTACCGCCGCGAATCTTTCGAGACACGAACGATTCGATTTTCAAGTCGCGATGATTGCCATTGGGGGGTTTGGTTGATGGAAAAGTGAAGTAAAGAATTACCTCAGCTGAGGGGCTAATCGCATGTAAGCTAGTGAGACAGTGTCTTGGATTCTATGGAGAATGTGGCAGCAGCTGCAAGACAAGTTTCTCAAAGAGGCTACTCCGGAACGCGTCTCTCGACGCCACCTCTCCTGGTGGCAGTTGCCTGGCCGTCCCTTAAGTCAGCACTAGAACCGTCGAGCGCATGATCGTCTCACACAAAACCTACCTTTTCAAACATCAACTTTTCTGCGGTCGATATTTGATACTATCACTGATCGTCCGTCATCTCAACGATCACCATGGCGCCAGGAATCTTCATCGTGCCCGGCTTATATGAAATAGTCGCCACCTTTGGGCCGCTTGTCGACGAACTCAAGAAAGCCGGGTACCCCTCAATCTACGTGGGCACCATCATCAGCGGTGGCACGTCTTCAAAACGGGAGCCTCGCGGGCTTACCATTGCCGACGACATTCAAGGTATCCGAACCGAGCTCGAACCATTCGTGGACAGATGCGGAAGTGACGGCGTGATTCTGGTCCTGCATTCCGCTGGCGGCTTCATCGGAGCTGGCGCCATGAAGGGCCTGACCCAGTCAGCCTACGAAGATGAAGCGAAGAGGGGTGGGATTCGACAAATCGTCGGGTTTACGGCTGCATTCTTGCCTGTTGGATTTGAGAATCGGCCGTTGCCGTTTATGAAGATCGATGTGAGATGAGTTCCCCGGTTCTCTGGTGGCAGTGGCTGACCTCTGAAAAGGAAGAGAAGGGAACCCAGGGTCCTGTTGATGATATGGCGTTCTTCAACGACATGTCCGCCGAGGCTGCAAAGCCGTGGGTTGATGAGTTTGTGCATCATCCGGCGCATGGGTGGGGCACGAAGATTGAATACGCCGGGTGGCACGACGTGCCTGTGGACTACATCATTTGCTCGCGAGACCAGATCATTCCCATGCCGATGCAGGAGACGGTCGCGGCCGGTGCGGAGGCAAAGATTTATCGACTCGATGCAGGGCATATGGCGCAGTTGTCTCGTACCAAGGAGCTTGCGAACCTGATCGTGGAGGCCATTTGCAGAATGAGTTAGCTGAGTGTTGCGGAATGAATCATAGTCATACTATCCACCCATGACCTCGAATCCATTACGCCCAGAAATCAAAAGGACTATTGGGCTCAAAAACATCAAAGAGGCAAGCTCAGGGGTAATTAGACAATAGAGAACTGACATCCGGATGGTGTAAAGTAGTGGGTTTCAGCCATCAGCCCCTCCTTTGCTCGAGAGCTAAATACCATTTCATCATGAACCTCGATGGATATGTCCATATAAAGATCATGTCCACTGTTTACTTTCAGAGCCTAGGAAGCTTCAACGTCGGAATCTCAATAGATCAACCAAGGCCCTGTTTGCAGCCTCGTACATTCAAACTTGAGCGGGTTCGTAACTGTGAGACGTCATGCAGCGCCGCCTCGATCCTTCTATGTCGTGTAACCCTATCCCCCAAGGTTTACCTTCCCACATGAGCAAAGATCTCCTCCCTCCAAATTGCCCAAGACTATCCTTGCTTGTCAACCCCGCGTGAGAATCGTGTGTTGCACCGAAAACTCGGCGTTGCTGTGCTAGAATGGCCGCAGTTGCACCGACACCTAGCCACCCTTGTGCGGAAGGAATAAGGATATTAGATTCGGCTTCTTTTTTACCGGAAGCCAAAGAGGAAAGCTTTGAAAGATACCATTATATATCCTAACAACGATTACGATGCCTCAAACTTGTAGAGCCACAATTTACCCCGTTTTGCTTATGGTACTGGCATTCTGTACCTCTGCAATACAAGATGCAAGTGTCTACTGCCAGCTCCTCGAATCTAAAATACCCAACCGCGTAGCATACCCAGAGACGCCAACCTACAACGAATCAGTCTCGTCATACTACTCCGGCCAGGAACGCGACATCCGGCCGGGATGCATCTTCCAACCCAGGAATGCCCAGGAGGTCTCTCAGTTCATCAAGCTCATCACTAGGAAAGACACCACATGTTCCCACGCGCCCCCTCAATTCGCCATCCGAAGCGGGGGGCACATGATCTGGCCCGGCTCGGCCAACATCGACCAAGGCATCACCGTCGACCTGCGCAAGCTCAACTCCCTCATCTTGAACGGGGACAAAACTGTAGCGTCACTGGGTGTCGGCGGTATTTGGAGCGACATCTACCCACGACTCGCCCCTCACAACCTGACGGTCATGGGCGGGAGAGTAAGTGGCATCGGCGTCGGAGGTCTTGCTACAGGTGGTAAGCCACACTACTATGACGATCCTGCCGACAGATGAACCGGTGCTAATCTTCATTCCTAGGCGGTATTCATTACCTCGCACGCCGTCACGGCTGGGTCTGCGACAACATCCACACCTACCAAGTCGTCCTCGCCAGCGGCGCCATCGTCGAAGCCACAGCATCCTCCTACGCGGACCTCTGGCTCGCGCTGAAAGGCGGCTCCAACAACTTCGGCATCGTCACCCGCATCGATGTCCCAACCTTTCCGATGGGCGATATATGGGGAGGCACGGTGGCCTTCGAGTACGCGAATGAGGTCCTGGATGCGCATGCACAGGCGTTCAGTGACTTCATGAGTGCCGAGAACTTTGACGATGCCGCTGATATGGGCATGTCCTTGCTCTTCGACCAGGGCAACTACGCAGTCGGCGACGCGCTGTATTATGTCACGCCCGTCGAGAATCCGCCTGTGTATCAGCCGTTCACGGCGATTCAACCGCAGATTGCCAGCTCGTTGCGGATTGGGAATGCTAGTTCCATGACATTGGAGGCGACCGGCCTTCTTCCGCCGAATGCCACGCGGTAAGCTGGACTTCGAAAACCATCTTGTGTGGCTTGAGTTGACGTGGACAGGGCCATCGATATCGCCTACTCCTTCAAGAACGGCGATTCCAGCGTTTACTCGAAGATGTTCAGAACCTGGGAGGAAGGGACCAGGCTTTTGGCACACATAGAGGGGCTCCAGCTCGTCCTTCTCATCCAACCCCACCCAGTCGCTAACGGGACGAATTCGCTGGGGCTGACGCCAGGGTCCAAAGACGAGGTGATGTCGGTCTTGACGGTAGCTTATACAAACCGGGAAGACGACGAAGTGGTTCAGGCAGGGATGCAGGGTATCATTGACGCCCATAAGGACATGCTGCAACAGCGCGGACTTCTAATCCCTTTCCAATATCTCAATTACGCAGACATCACGCAAGATCCGATTGGAAGTTACGGACCAGAGATTAAAGCGAGGCTGCAGGCTGTCAGCAAGAAGTATGATCCTGAAGGCTTGTTCCAAAAGGGCGTACCAGGTGGGTTCAAGGTGTTTTAGAGTGAAGCTGAACGGGTTAACAAATGGAACTTCTTTTGGTAAAATTACATTACGCTTAGGGCTATGTTACAAGACTGATCGAGGAAGGCTACACTGCTGATCCATCATGCGGCCTCTCACTTGGCCTCCTCCTTGGCCTTGTTGGCGATCTCCTCCGCCTTCTTTCCCTTCGCCTCGAGGACCTTCTTGACCTCTTCCAGAGTCTCCTTGAACAACTTCTCGCCCTCGTCCTTGTGCTTGTCCGCGACCTCCCTCAATTGCTTCAACTTAGGAATAATCTGGTCGCCGTCGGGGATCATCTTGAAGTACTGATCCAGGCCACCGAAGTTTCCACCCAATTGTGAGCCCTTGGACTTGGCCTTGTCCACGGCATCACCGACGTACTTCTCCAGGCCACCAAGGTCGCCAGAGTCGACAGCAGACTTGGCCTTCTCGAACACCTCCTTCGCATTGCCCTGCTTCAGCGCATCGGCGTTCTTCTCCAGAAGCTCCTTGACCTTGGGGTTCTTGTCGAGGTAGGGCTTCGCCTCCTCGAGTGCCTTCTTCCAAGCCTCGTCTCCGAGCTTCTTGACTTGCTGAATCTTGTCCTCAATCACCTTGCGGGCTTTCTCGAAGTTGCTGGCGGTAAGGCCGCCCGCAAGGACGTCCTTGATCTGCTTCCACGTCTCGTCGACCTGCTTCTTCGCCTCAGGGCCATATTGGTCGCCCAGCTGCTTGAGCTGGTCGATGTTGCCGCCGAGCTTCTCCTTCAGCTGGGGGTGGTTGTCGACGATGTCGGAGATGGCATCGCCAGACAGGTTTGCAATCTTCTTGGACAGGTCGGCGAGAACCTCGTACGCCTTGTGGACTGCCTCTAGGCTCAGGCCGGCCTTGGCGACCTCCTGGAACTGCTTGTAGGCATCGTTGATGATCTCGTCAGCCTCCTCCTTGTGGTTCTTGCGGACAGTCTCGAAGTCGTCAAACGCGGAGTCGACGTAGGAGCGACCGCCGGGGATCCAGCCGACGTAGGAGTAGGCGAACTGCTTGATGGAGTCGATGGCTTGGTCGGGCGAGGGCGTGTTCTCCTGCAGCTTCTTCGCGGCAACCTGGTATTTCTTCTCCGCCTCCTTGGCGGCCTTGTTGACCTTGGATGCGGTGCGTCCGGCGGGGGTGAAGGAGTAGATTGCGTAGAAGAGACCGGCGCCTGCGAGTCCTCCGGCGACGCCAGCTCCAAAGTGTGAGCTGCCGCTGCCTGCGCCTGCTGATGAGGAGGTAGTGGTCGATTGAAAGCGAAGCTGTTGGCGGGGAGCTCGAAGAGCGCGAGTAGCTCTAGGGAGTGTCGAGCGCGCGAGGGGTCTTGCGGACATCATCTTGGCGTGGGGCAAATGACTGGCAGACTGGTAGGTGTTTGGTTACAGGACAGCTTTCGGACGCCGAGAGGATTGGAGTTGATGCTGAAGAGAGGACCGAAAAGTTCGTAGCTGGGTGAAAGGATTAGAAGAAGCAGGGAGAGAGCTGGTTTTGAGGGATGGGCAACGAGCTTGTACCTTACCCCTGGTGGCTGGCTACCCTCGGAATTGTTGGCGGCAGGCAAAACAAGGAAGATCTGGGCTTGTCCCACGTGTCTTGAAGCGCAATTGAAGTCGAAATGACGAGCGGAAGCAGCTGAAGGACAGGGGGCCAGCTGTTGGGCTGCCTACTTCAGCTGCACTATGAGCTGCAAATCGACTGGGCTGGAGGGAAAGCTCCGGACTAGTGACGTCGATGACGCATCAGCGAGAAGGTTAGCTGCTACCCTGTTGGGGTAGCTACCCCGCATGGTGGCATTCATCTGCTCTAGCGGGACGAACTGCCCCTGAAAGCCCCCGAATAAGACCCCCTAAGGGGCTAGCTGTCACCGGGAGATCGGCGATCAGCTGCTGCGGGGGAAGCCCTGATTCGCAGGGGATGCCCTCGTCATCGTGATGCAGCTGCAACGTTGATGTGCCCCATGCGAATGGGGCATCTGTCCAAGAGACTGAAGCGAAATACAAGGTAAATAAGGTGTTGGAAGAAAGCTTCGCGACAGAAATGACACCACGTCAATTGCCTGTCCGTACGGCGATAGCTTCTATTGGCTTGCTGCTATTGGGAAGGATACTAGTAGGGTCCAAATGGGCTGTAATAGTAGAAAGAAAATTATCAACAAAGGCGACAACGACGACGATAACAGTAATACAGATCATTTGAAAACAGGGCATGTGGTCGCTGTTGCATGGGGAAAATAGGCGGTCAACCAGACGTATACAGGTGAAGGTTGCTTTGCATATTGTGCCCATTTCAACGAATTGAGTTCAAACATCACCTGCGTCTACCCGAGAAAAGCAAAGCCCCTCCATCATCGTCAGAGTCCTCGGCCTCTTGGTCGGCGTGGCCTGCAACGCTCCAAGAGTCATCATCGACAATCACCGATCTCTGCAAGCGGCGCGATGGTTCTCCTTCAGCAATTGATAAGAGACTCATCACAGAAGCCAGGTCGGCGCCACGGACAGACGTGCTAGCCAGAGACTGGAATGTCTGCTGATATGAAAAGGTGTTCGAGTCCCATCTCTTATGGTCAGTGACCTTCTCCTCCAGAGCCGAGAGCGCATCCCGCCGGACACCTCCCAATACTTTGTCAATAAGACTATCCTTCTCCTTGGCCCATTCCGGGCTTTCATGCGTGACGTTGGGAACAATCCAGTTCAGGTAGACGTTCTTGTGTCCCCGGCGAACTTGTATGCCGCTTCTATGAGCAGCAAAGTAGTATTCGCAGAGGCGGCACGTTGGCTTGCTACAGCCGATATACCGAAAGTCCCGGAAAAAGGGGATAGAAGCAGTTCCAGTGGGATGTTGTCCACACAGCCAATCAAGAACGAGAATCTCGCAATGAACAGTGGGGTGAAAAGACACGTTTGCGCACTCCTTGGAGATCAACTCATCCAGGCCGCAGCGCTGGAGTTCCTCGGCGTACCCCTGGTATTTAGATATTTCTGCGGATTCGGAAACCATGCGGCTGATAATCGCCTTGGCCGTTCGGAGGCTTCGGCGCTTTGCAGCTGTCATTGTCGAAGGTTGAAGACAAGTGATTGGATTGGGCAAAGGAGTGCTAGACGGCAGGAAAACAATGTTGAACTTCTCAAATAGCTCTGGAATACGTCTGCGAGCGATGATGATGGCGCGAACCATGCCTAAGTATGAAGCGAGACGCCCGACAAAGTGGGAGAGGTCACACCATCTTTCAGACTCGTTCATTCTGCCTGCCCTGACTCTCTCAATAATGTTTTCATACACGAGTGAAGCCCGTAGAGTGGCCGCAGCGTGGACGAGAGTATCATTCTCTGTCACTTCGGAAAAGAGAGGTCAGTACCTTTCAGATGTACATAGGTGGCAGTGGCCCTACCAAAGCAACTATTACCGTCTCGGTCTTTATGAGCAATCAAGGTGTCCTTCAAATCGCGCAAAGCATTTTGAAGCGAGAGGCCTAGCATACCACATGACAAATGAGATCAAGTACGTGGAAAGCTTGAAGGGGAATACTTACTTTCGTTAGAGTCACTGGCATCGCAGTCCACAATGCAGGCCGATATAGATTTCAACAGCTTATCGCGATACGCTTGAACTCTCTTGTCGTGGAACTCCAGAATCTGCTGAAGCGCCCCGTGAAACAAAGGGCTATGGGGATCGTCTTTGACCTGATCTAAGGATGCACGGCCCATGTCGTTCAGAAGACGGCGAACAAAGTCTCTCGCTTTGTTGGCGCCTTCAGCAGTCTGCCTGTTAGACGCAAAAGTGTAGAGCAAGCCATCGTAATTGTGGACAGTAATCGCCACAGAAGTGACAGTGTCTCCAAACGGCACATTATCGCAAACCTGTGCCAGCTTATTGATGAAGCATTCGAGGACCATGTTTGGGTTATCACTCGGTTCGTATCCTTCGTTATGAGCTCGGGTCTGGCCATTAACCTTGCAGGCTTCGATTAGACTGGAGAGAAAGACAAGCGCATCGTAGAATCGTCTGAGGCGGTTGCGAAGATTGGTGCTGATGGTGCCTAGGCCATCAACATAAGTCATGACTGCTTATTGAGTGTGGAAGTCAGCTGTGTTTCCAGGCAGTTGCGCTTCCTCGTGATAATCATACTTGGGTGTTTGCCCTCCTTGCCAGGACTTGTGGATTTCACGCGGCCTTTCGCCATTGAAAGATTAGACTAGAGCTTAAACCTAGGGGTTGCAAAAAAGAAACAAGGGTTCTTTGGAGATGAATCTGACGGTGGAGGGAAACCAGATGGATTGGCAGGGTTTGGGAGCCTGTTTGGGTTCCATGACTACTTCTGTCATACAAGCAATTTATATCGGGTCACCCGCGAGAGTCTCAATGAATGGTTCCAGACTGCGTGTAGACTGTGGAGTCCGCAACTGCGCACTCCGCCAAAGCGCGTTGTGTTGGTCGGGTCAAGTGCTCAGGCCGGTTCACTGTCCACGCCAATGTGCCATCGTTCCGGTCGCGAATGGGGCCATTGGGCATGCAGCTGCGCCCCTCCACAAGCAGGAGGCCAGGAGCCACGCCCTACGAATTGGGGTGACCCGCATCGAGAAGCAATTGGTTGAGGATACGGGCATGGTGGGGTTGGCGTTGGAGGTTCTTGCAGGTATCAATTGGCGAACCATCATGCTGACCCTTCATCCAGGTTCGTGATGAGGCATATGCACGGTACCAACCGGTATCGTGGGTCTTGAGTCGGAGGCCGACAAGGCGTGCCTCGATCAACCATGAGCAAGCCTCGTTTTCTGTATTTCATATGAACTGGCTGATGGTTTTGGTACGTTGGGCTTGGACGATGGCTTCTTCCAGATTCGTGCCCCTATCAGGTGGCTGAACTTCACCGACGCTCAGAACTTGGCAGGCTGCTGTTGGGTCCACACGCGTTGGAAGTTGTGCAGGCCAGACCGGGCCGCGGCCTCGACTTTCAAACATACCGGATGAGAGCTTATCGGTTTTACAGGTGCTATTGGCCTGATCAATGGCTTGTCTTGTCGGCCTCCAAGAACCGCGCAGAACGGATTCGAAGCAAGAAAAGAAGCCAATGTGGAACGAAACCATTGAGCCGTCGAGTATTATAAATTAGGCCGTGTCCACCAAGACATCGAACAATGATCCTCATAGCCATCTTCATCGGAAGCTTCGCAGATATTGCACACCCACAATAACCAACATCGCCCATCCTCATCGCCGACCTTAGGCAGCAAAACAACTATTCGATATATGTAAGTGCCACCCAACTGAAGTTTAGTGAATACCATTTTGCATGTGGGAGGGTATGACAAGGATTCCGTGTTGCTAATGCCGGAGGCCGATGCTGAAGAACCATTCTTCATCAAATTTGCCCCTCAGTATCCACTTGGCAGCCAAACGCCCTGGTTGAAGTTGCCCATGCCCAGGTGAGGAGAAAACAACGACTGCTGTATTGAGGCGCCGTATTGACCTAACAAACACTCACAGAGCACCGCATCCAAACTGAATACTTGTGTCAACTACATCTCGCCTGCAACGAACCCGCCTGATGTACAACATGTATCAGGGATCCTCATCCTACCAGCAAGCTCCGGCAACCTACAGTTACGCTAGTCCAGATGACCCAGGGGGTTCCCAACAACAGCAACAGTCCCACTACAACAACGAATATAACTACGACTATTCGTACGATACTGGTGATTTTCCTGGATACGCAACCGCTGCAAGCTACCAGTACACCAACGACCCTGCCTACTACGCCGAAGCCGCACCGCTGGAACATTAGGATTCCGGGGGTGGATCGTCGCATGGGACCAGTTCCCATCACAACCAAGGACAATCACAGGTTTTGCCTACGTGGGACGAAAGAGACGCAGACATGCATGCCCAACGAGTAATGAATGAGGACAACACCGGGGATGGCTCTCAACATGACCCCAAACGACCGTATGCTTGTCCGGTGGAGGGTTGCGGGGAGAAATTTGAGCAAGGACACAGGCTGAAGTAAGCCCACCAAGCCTGTTGAAATGACTGTTGTCATCTTACTGACCTGGAACTGAAGCAAACATCAAAAGAAGCATACACTGCCTTACAGATGCCAAATCTGCCCGGAGGGCGCTGGTGAATCGCCCAGGTTCAAGACGGCCTTCTCCGACAACAAGGACTTGAAACGGCACATACGTGTTCATCATCGAAACGAAGCCGACAGTCTCGGTGTGCCGGACGAGAGTGTGGAGTGTACTGTGTGCGGCGAGGTGTATACCCGGCAAGACAATTACAGGCGCCACCTGGAGGTGGGACGTTGCAGACCACGTTGATGGCGGGCGGTTGAGCTGACACTTATCGCACCGTCTACACTTGGTCAACCGATTCCGGGGTTCTTCCATGTTGTTCCACCCGTTTTGGCTTTCTCTTGACTTGGTCGTGTTTGTGGTGTCCCTTGTATTGCTGTATCTTCGTCTTGTTGTTAGTTGACGAGAGCATACGTCGTTCACATTTCTTTTTTGTCTACCTATCAGATTCCGTCTATTGAACCCGTGAAACTGATCGTCGTCTGAAAGTAGACTTGCAGTAACCGACTTCCACTTATCCTACAATGGACCCGTCCCAATGATGCGAGGCAAATTACTCCGTGATCGATACACTTGGTCTGCCTGTTTTCTCCATGTCCACATACTAGCGCAATGTCGCGATACCCAACATCGGATACCACGGCAACGAGTCAAAACTGTTGCCAAGAACGCCGCAAACATATCATGATGTCTGACACTTCAGAAGGAGGTGTTGGGCTTGACTTCGCGTGGAAGGATGGTGTCTCACGCAGCCGCGACGCTATTGGTTGAGAAGGAATGATGGCAAACATCGTTCAAACGGATGCCAAGATCTCCAAATAACATCCTCCGGAAACGGATGTGTTTTGTAAACACAATCGCGACTTGGGAAAGCATGTGCATCGTTATGCGCCGAAATGAGATAATCTCAACAAATATGATTCTGGAAAACAACATAATATCTGCGTGTTAAAAGCTCGTGATGCGTCTGTCAAACACGTCTGGGGTCTTTTCAGCTTTCTCCCGTCTCAATCACACATCATCTCTGCCCTCCGCGGTTCAAACGCTCTCAAGATGAAGTGGATCGCATCTCTCACACTTACACTCGCCGCACTGCGGCAAGTGGCCGCCACGAACTCGACGTCATGCACACCGAGACTGATGAGCTACTGGATCAACGCCAACGCCTCCCTTGGCGAGGTTACTTCCGTCGACGAGGGAGGTGCCTTCGAGGAGAGCAGCGACGTCGCGTACCCTGTCAACGTGACCAACTTGCCGAGTCTCTGTGCCGTGACCTTCGTCGCCAAGACCGGGGACGGGAATGCGACGTACAAGTTCGGTCTTTTCCTCCCGGACGACTGGAGCAGCGACATCTTGACCGTTGGCAACGAAGGCTTCGATGGCGGTGTCAACTGGCCTGCCATGGCAGCTGGCGTCAAGTACGGCTTCGTGACCGTCTCGACCGATGGCGGACACAACTCGACCGCAAGCAACCTGACCTGGGCCCTGAATGACGAGGACAGGCAGCTGGACTTTGGCTTCCGCGCTCTCCACGGCTCGTACCAGCTGGCCCTGAGAGTCATTGAGCGGTATTACACAATTCCCCCTCGAAATTCATACTTCGCCGGCGCTGGCCAGGGCGGTCGTCAGGGGTTGAAGGCCGCGCAGCTTTACCCGAGGGACTTTGATGCCATCCTCGTCGGCGCACCGGCGTGGTGGCAGACTGCTCTGCAGAGCTGGAGGATCTCTCGCGGCTCCAAGAACGGCGCCAACGACACCAAGATACTCACTGAGGAGAGCCTCAAGGTCCTCGGCGACAATGTACGAAAGCAGTGTGACGCTGCGGACGGAGTTGAGGATGGCATCATAAGTGACCTCGCCTCTTGCTACTTCGACTTCGACCTCTTCACCTGCGGCAAGGACGGCGTCGATGCGTCGGCGTGCTTGACTGAGGAGCAGGTCGACCTCGCCAAGGTCCTGTACGACAACTACGAGGTCGACGACGAGCAGGTCTTCACCGGTCTGAGCCCGTCGTCCGAGTACGAGTGGAGTTCGGTCGTCGGCGACAACGACACCGATGTCAACGAGGAGGCCCTGGGCTACTTCCAGAACTTCCTCTACAGCGACCCGGAGTGGGATGTGTCAAGCTACAACGACACGGTCCCGGCGTACGCCAACGAGACCAACCCCGGCGACCTGGACGTCAACGACTTCAACCTGACCGCGTTCGCTGCCCTTGGCCACAAGATCATCATGTACCACGGGCTGGCTGACGGTGTCAACCCCCTCAACGCCTCCATCTATTTCTACGAGAGCGTCGTCAACGCCACGGGCGGGGACATCGAGGCCACGCGTAGCTGGTTCCGCCTGTTCCTCGTGCCGGGTCTGGGATCCAAGACCACTAGCGTCGACGCGCCGTGGTACATCGGCGGTCCTGGCCAGTGGGAGCAGCTCGTCGATGGGGAGACTGCGACGATTGCTGGCTTCAACAATGCGGCGACGGATGCTCTTGCGGCGCTTGTCGCATGGACGGCTGCGGACACAGTTCCAGAGTCGATCATCGCGACGACGTGGACCAACTCAACGGATCCTTCAACCGAGGTACTGAGGCAACGTCCGATCTGCCCGTGGCCTGCGACGCAGAAGTACAATGGGGAAGGCGATCAGTCCAAGCCCGAGAGCTTTTCATGCTAGAGCTTGGCGAAGCCGATTGAACAGAGGAATTCCAAGAGATGAGGGCCAAGTTTACTGCCTGCCACAAACGGAAACGGCGATGCGGGTCCAAAAAGGCGTATGGTATAGATGCATAATGTTTAATGAAGTGACATGCCTCAATGCAATACTGTTTAAGACAAAGACTGCTGTCACGTGGGCTCGTGTGTGTTTGCTGACATGAGCGACGCGTCGATGACTTTGGGCGGGGCATTCTCTCTCTTGCCCGTGACAGTGATCCTTTTTGCCTCCAGGCGTTCCTATGCTCGACGCATCGATCCCTACAGGCCTCGAATAGCGAATGAAGATATGCCATTCTTACTTCAGTTCAGGGTCTCTGTTCGGATCTTCCGGTCGGCTTTTTCGGATCAATGACGATGACGACACCACAACAACCAGATTCGCCGCCCGCCGAGCAGTCCGACGAGGCACTGCTTGAGGATGCGGCTCTGCTAGAAGATGCCAAGGCCATTTCGGAGCATGGAACGCTCAAGTATTCATTACTGGGCCCTTCACTGACGAAGGCCGGGCAAGACACAGTGGATCAGTCTAAGGTTGGTGGTGCACATGATCATCATCGCCTCTGAAATATACGCTGACCGTGCTGTGTGCCAGGTTTCCGAGATCATCTACAACGCCTCGAAGGGATCCAAATTCTTCAACCGAGAAGAGGAACGAGACAAAATCCTTACCAAAAAGATCGAACAAATCCTCGAGAAGAAGCGCCGCCTGGAGAAGCTTGACCTCAGCAGAGAACTGCGCCTCGCCGACCAGCTTATCACCCAACTCGAACTCTCGCGCGACCTCTCCCAATACATTGTCCATGTCGACTGCGATGCCTTTTACGCTGCCGTCGAACTTCTCGAGCGACCCGAGCTGAAGGACGTACCGTTTTCTGTGGGTGCCGGCGTCTTGACAACCTGTAACTATGTCGCAAGGAAATACGGCTGTCGGAGTGGCATGGCTGGCTTTGTCGCGAAGAAGCTTTGTCCGAGCTTGGTGATGCTCAAGCCTAATTTCGAGAAATACAATGCCAAGGCACACGAGGTTCGGGAGGTCTTGGTGGAATACGACCCCCGGTTTGAGAGCGCCAGTATCGACGAAGCATACCTTAATATCACCGAATATTGCACGGAGAAAGACATTAGTCCCGCAGATGCAGTCGAGCAGATGCGTCGTGAGGTACACGAAAGGACAAATATTACGGTGTCGGCTGGCATTGCAGCCAACGCGAAGCTTGCGAAGATATGCTCCAACATGAACAAGCCTAACGGGCAGTTCGTGTTGCCCAACGAGCGGACCGAGATCATGAACTTCATGGCGAAGCTTCCACCACGGAAGGTCAATGGGATTGGGCGCGTTCTAGAGCGGCAGCTGGCTGAGATTGGCATCAAGACTTGTGCCGACATCTACCCATACCGACAATTTCTCAGGCAACTATTCGGAGAGAAAGCATACGAGTTCCTCATCAATGTCTACCTTGGCCTCGGGCGCACACGGATACAGCCAGCAGAAGAATACGAGAGAAAAAGTGTCGGCACAGAGAGCACATTTCGGGACATGTCGGATCCTCAGCAGCTGAGGGAGAAGTTGAGGTGGACGGCTGATGAGCTGGAGAAGGACATGAAGAGGGCGGGGTGTAAAGGTCGGACGTTGGTGCTAAAGGTGAAGCTGCACACGTACGAAGTTTTCACACGACAAGTTGTGTTGCCAAGAGCTATCTGTTTGGCCGACGATCTCTATCGTTTCGCTCTGCCCATTCTCGGCAAGCTCGAAGAGGAGATGCCGGAGATGAAGCTACGACTGATGGGTTTGCGGTGCACGCACCTCGTGAGCACCAAGAAGCCCGATACCATGGCATTCTTTGGTTTCCGGTCCCGCAGGTCAGAGTCGGCCGGATCTTCAGAGAAGCAGGGCGCTATTGGGAACCCAGGAAGCACTGTTAGACTGGATGAAGATGGATGGGAAATGTGGCCGGACGAGGAACTATTGCGACTCGACGACGATCTCGCCTTGCAGGGAGAGGGCCCTGAGGAGTCGGATGCGCGAGTAACGGACGACGAGTCGGCCCCCGTGCGTAGACATGGCAAGGAGATTGCGCCGAATCCCACTAAGGAAGACGCGCCGGTCGAGGAGGAGATGTGGGACTGTCCGATTTGCAACCGTCCACAAGCACCAGACGAGAGACAGTTTAACGAGCACATCGATCTATGTTTATCGAGGCAAACGATCCTTGAGGCGGTGCAAGAGGATGCTCCTCCAGCAGCAGGGACGAGGTCGGTAACGCCCGACTTGAAGAAGACTAAACCCAGTGGAGAGAAGAAGCGTGGTCGGCCGCCTACGAGGCTCTCGAGCAATGATCCTCGACAAAAGAAGCTTTGCTTCGGATAATGAACTTCCATGAGACTAAACAAAATGATACCCATATTCAATGTCCCTTTAACAATAACGTCCATGTGGGTAGTGGAGACTTTCAACGCTTGCTGGATGTGAGTCGGTTTCCTCATGTCAGAGGCTTGCACCTGACAGACTCCTAGAACCTTTGTCGTTATCGGCGACTGCAAGGGATACGGTCAGACCGTCTTTAACCCCGCAAATGTCAACGCCGAACGATGCTATTCACTAGACTTCTCAACGTCGAGGTGGCAACATGGACAACGTTTCGCTTCAGAATCCTGCGGCTTATTGCTCCCGGCTGGGCTAGTGTGCGATGGGTCGAACGTGGCGCTCCTAGTTCGCGGTGGTCAAGCTCTCCGTAGCCCAATGAAATGAGCGGCACCGAGTCATCCCGAAAGAACTTTTACGGACCAACGGTGGGACTTCAGTGATCGACAGGAGTTTCCTTGATCTTGCGGCACATGGCCTGCCGTTATGAAGCCATGGAGGCCAGATTGGTGAGATCTCAGACTTCGAAATCTGTGCGTTTATTTCATTGTCTTCCATAGTTGAGTTCACCCGGAGGCGCCCCGTTGCAATTTACGTCAGCCTGGCTGTCGTCCGGTTTTCAGTCCCTCTTCCACCTACAGACTGAGGATGACGATGATCCAAGCCGACATTACCGCGCGACCTCGCCGCCACGGCGCTGACGACCGTTGGTCGAACTCACTGTCTCATAGACCCTGACGTTCAGCTGTCAATGGAGGCTTTCTCCGATACCATGTGGACGAAGTGAATACCCTTTTTACGATGTCGGACGCTATGGGCGGTTCTTGGGGTGTCCACACGGTCGCATTTCCATCTCCCTTGCGTCGCTGGTCAAGTCGGAAAAAGAGGAAGCGCGGTTCCATCCAATGGCATATCATCAATCACCTGCCACCATCTCTGTCTCCCTGCGCTCGCTCCTCCATGCGCACCGTGGCGAGCCAAAGCCAAAGCTCTTGCAGCTGGTCCGAGTTTCTCATCATGGACCATCTCTGGCTTCCGCTGTCTGTGGCACACCATCGCAGCCTCATACATGGAAGGCTCTGTGCTTGAACGGTTGTGAGAGGTCAGATCAATTCCGCCGATTGGACCGACTTTCCCGTTCAGCAACTCATAACAAGCCTCCAGCGTAAGGGCTCCCCTAGAGATCTGCAATCACAGCTCTACTCGTTGGTATCCCCTTGGCAAGCTGACTGGCTGAATCGCCAAAAGCTAGCCAAAGGCACGATGCTTTCGTGCGCCAGCTAGACCCAGCGACCGGCTCTAGTTAGCGCCCGGAAGACACTTCACCCATTGGCGCTAAGCACCACCGACATTCCCATGCAGGAAAAGCTTATGCGACCAGAGATCCACACTCTGGACCGTCGATGTTGTCCGCCTAAAGACTCTGCAGGCTCGCCTTCGGAGGCAAGGAACGCAGCGCCGCCGAAGGGATGAAGCCGCTGCCCTGCATACAGGTTTCACTCAAACGGCTCCCAGCGCGGGCCACAGGGTCTAGCCACGACTTTCAGGCCAGGAACCAACTGTCGACCTGTCGCCAGCATTCGCCCTGCATCTGAAGTGTTTGTGAGATGCGATCGGCAGTCCTAATAACAGCGCTATTGTTATCGTCAGCAGGGATCTACAGGACGGTGTGCCGGTGTCGTCTCCGCCTTTGGTTACCGCGCAAAGGCATGATGACATACTCCAACAGCCCCCGAAAGGATTTTGCGCTGTGAATCATGGGCGACTGGCATTTACATTCCACCGAAAGGTTGTTTCCGCGACCCTGCTTGCATTCCAACATATAAGTCTATCCTCAAGCCTTACCTGCATGGTCTCGGAATTTCCTCATCACGCTTCCTTCGACCCCAATGTGACGGACTAGAAGCGACCTCGACCTCACATGGTGCAATCCGTCAACTTCGAACAACAGAAACCATGGATAATGGAGTCGCGGCCACGATTACACCCTCGCCCACGTCGGTAGCAGTATCAGCGGCACCAACTCTCAACGCAGAACCAGCTGCCCTCTTCTGGCTCGCTTGGGGAGGGCTATGGACAGCCTTGGTGCTCAGCGGAATGGCATTTCTCTTTGTCAACCGCAAAATGCCGTTTTTGAGGATCCGCGGCCTGGCTTTGTCGTTTGGGGCAGTTACCATGCTCCACCTCTATTGGATTTCAGTACAGATCGGCCTCGCTATTGGTTCCTATGTGCCTGATGGCGCCGAGTTCTGGGTAATGGGCCTCTATCTTCCTTTCGGCATCGCTCTCTTTCACGCCTCGAATAGCCGGTTCCTCCACGTCGCCAAGGCGCAGAGGAGATATGCCGGCACATCGGGAGTTCTGTCCCAGCCTGAACAGAAGCCGTGCGACGGCAAGGACAAGACGCTCGTGGGACGGTTCCAAAAGCTAGACTACACCACCAAGATGCTCGCCGTCGTGTGCACGGGCATGCTGCTCCAGGTACGTAACGGAACAAGCAGTGGACCGTGCCTTGTCAGATTTGGAAAACACATGGTTGACATGAGTCTCTCATCAGCTGCTGCTCACTGTCGTGATGTGGCTCGTCTCCCGCAAGTACCACCCTTGGTTTGGCATCCCCGGTACCGAGGCCAAGGGCACCGAGGCAGAGCAGAAGGTCGAGAAGGGGAGAGGTTGGGAATGGTGGCCTTCGGTCTTTTGGCAGTTCCTATGGGCCTGGATCGTCGCGCCCTTCATCCTATGGAGATCACGTGGCATCAATGATACCCAGGGGTGGCGACTCCAGACCATTGGATGCTGTATCGCGAGGTGAGTGGCATTCACGACTAGCGTTTTGCGCGGCCCTCAACCCTCCGGCTCGCACTAACAACCTCAGCCTGCACGCTACCCCTATGTGGCTTATCGCCTTGTATGTTCCAGCCATGGCACCTGTCAATCGATACTTCATCCCCCCTCAGTGGTATGTATATGAAGCATCACCCGTGCACTCTATCCCACGATACTCACATTACATTCAACCAGGATCTGCCTGTCAATAACCTTCATTGAAATCTTTGCCATATTCGTTCCTTGTTGGCAAGTCATCAAACACAAGTCCCTTCGCCAAGAGACTCTTGAGTCCATCGCCATCTGGGAAGCCAAGAACCAGCAACGCGACAGGAGAAACTCTACTATAACAGGTTCTACCAAGGTCGGCTCACATCTGTCGACTGGCTCTACCTGGAAGTCCCTTGCACAACTTGAAAAGGACACAAGTCAGTCCGAAAGCGTCTACACAATGGGTGCCCTCGAGTACGTCCTTGACAAGAACCCCGAGCCCCTCCGGAAGTTCTCCGCTCTCAGGGATTTCTCGGGGGAGAACATCGCCTTCCTCGCCGCCGTTGGGGAATGGAAGTCGTCCATCCCCACCACTCCCGGTTCGAACAAGCAACGCTCCATGGAGCTCACTCGTGAACGCTTCAACCGCGCGCTGCGCATCTACACCGAGTTCATCAGCCCTCGCCACGCCGAGTTCCAGATCAACATCGCTTCACAAGACCTCAAGAACCTCGAAGACATCTTCGAGGACGCCGCCCGCATTCTTTACGGCCACCAAACAGAACGCTTCAGCGACCCAGTCGTGCCTTTTGAAGATCCCAACTGGGCCAGGCCTACTTCATCTTCCATTGCCTCCGAGACATACAGTATGTCAGACGTCGCCTCTCAGACACCAATCGCAGATCGCGCGCAGTACTTTGGTGCGATTCCCGAGAAGTTCACGGCCGGTGTGTTTGACGACGCCGAGACGAGCATCAAGTATCTCGTGTTGACCAACACTTGGCCAAAGTTCGTCAAGGAGAGGAGGTACTCGTCGGACTCGGAAGATTCGCGGGAGTCGAGAGACACTGTGGAGACATTCAACTCACAGTCAACACTTCACAGGGTGGTGAGGTACTTCAGGGCCATGAGAGTGTAGCACGGGCGTACCGCACAAAGCATTTGTTCCTTCGATTACGCTTCACGATGATATCCCAGTTTTTTTGTCATTCATACCACTTTGTAATTCAGTTATCAGAATCAAAACAGCAACATCTCATGATACCAATGTCTCTCATCCACATCCATCTCCGGCATCGTCATGTCTCATGCTGCAACGTGCCTCGTGAAGATCATTTACCTTGCAAAGCTTTCAGGCTGTGGCTTTGCAAGCCACAACTTCTTTGTCATGCAACTGCCGCTCCCCTGAAGTCATCAGTCGCGTGGCGAACGTTTAGATTTCTGATCGTCACGCCCCCGGGCGCCTCGAGCACAAGCCCGTTGGTGGACAGAGTCAGGAAAGAGGTGGCTGGTGTGAGGGGAGTCGCAGCCCAAATGAGCGTTGAATGACGCAAACGGATTTTTGATGTCTGCTTTGGGATGCTGTTGCGAGAATTGCCCAGCCACATAGCCAATGGCTTCAAGCGTTGGGAGGCGCTCCCTGTTCAACTATGAAGAGCTTGTGGGGTGAGGCGTCTGCTGTGATGCCAGTGCGGGAGGTTCCGGATGGTGGTGAGTTTGGATCTGAGGTTATCTCTAACTTTCTCGGCAGTGTCGAAAGAGCAGCACCGGGAATGGAATGGTTGTTGGTTTGAGAGTGAGAACCGTAAGTCTAGATCTCGATGGATCTTGTGTGAAACTTGCAGTTTGGAATCTTTAAGGCTGAAAACTGCCCGGAACGGGGATGGACGACGGCTCTACGACACACGTTCCTGAATCCTGTGAGACAAGGCCAAGATATTTCGGCTGTTATGTCTGATAAGCTTTGCGGGTGACACAATACCCGGCCCTTAAAGTATTTGTAAATACCGATCTTCCCCTGCCCGGTGTCCCCGTAGGTCTGAATTCGCACGCAAGATGGACGTAAGCCACGTGACCGAGAATGAGAGGTGTGCTTCCGCATTTGGACGAGGGCCTGATATCACCATGTCCATTTCCGGACAACTATCGAAGAGACTCGGAAAACTGGAAAAGTTCTGACTCTGCCATTCTTACTAAGGACGCCGTTGGCACGTTGCAGTGCTTGCTTGCTTTCTATCCCCCGCATTTCGCCGCACTTGCTGATCCGGGGTAGAAAACGCGGGGGAGGAGGACGCAATCCCCCACATTCCGTCTGGAACCCTGGTTCGTGACAGAGCGCTGTGATAGGGCGTCGTTGGGGGATATACCGATGGGATGGAAGGGTGATGCAGATCCTTCAGGTGAGTGTCGGTGGCACGGGACCTGGAATCTGGGGAAAGGGGCATAGATCCGGGGAAGGATGACTTGATTCGTTGACAGGAATCACAGTGACACATGTGGGATACCGGGGGCGTTCGTATGTCGTTGATCTAGAGTTGAGTTCGTCCCAAGGTAGCCCGAGATGAGATGTCAATTGGGCTGGGAGGTAAGCTTGGTAAGCTTAGAAAGAGAGTTAGGTGAGTGTTTGGTCATCAACCTCTTGATGAGCTTCTGATATCGCGGATAGCATTGCCCCGAGGGCAACTGACGGCGGGTGGTATATCATAGATGAGGATCTAGAGGTTAAAGTGCCAAGATCAAGGAGTCTATCAGGACAGCCTCAGGCCTGCAAGTCATCACACCATTGATTCTGGGTTTTATAGCCCCTCCCATCTCTCAACATGATGTTCCTCTCGACTTCTGCGCTGCTTTCTCTCCCTCTACTGGCTCCTCACGCCTTAGCCGGTCATGCAGGCCAAGTCTCGGAGCCGTCCACGTACCAGAGAGCCCGGTTCCGATGGTGCTGGCCCGGAGGCTGGATCGAGCCAGACCAAGTCGCGGCCGAAATCACCAGCATTGCGGATGCCGGCTTCGGCGGCGGCGAGATCGGCGATGTCAGAGACAGCGTGAAGGGGGCCATGGACCCCGTCGTGTACGGGTGGGGCGAGAAGAGTTGGAACGACGGCGTGTTGACTGCTTATGAGCAAGCTGCCAAGTGAGTTTGAAGTCGCCAAAGTTGAGCTGCCAAACAGAAGCTTACACTCGCGTGCACAGACTCGGCGTTCATGTCGACATGACCTCGGGGCCCCACTGGCCGACCGGCTTTCCGGGATACACCCCGGACTCCCCTGAGACGATGAAGGAAATCGTCCATGGACAAGCCTTCGTTCAGGCAGGAGAGACATTTTCGGGGGCCCTGCCGCTACCAGTTGCGGCGCCATCCGGAAACCAGACTGGCAATCTGGTGACCGCTATCCCGAAGCTTGTTGCGCTGTTGGCGGCCAAGACGGCGACCACGAATGAGAGTGGTGCCGTTGTCGAATTTGATCCAGAGACTGTGACTGTGATTGTGGATTCTGTTGATAATGGGACTTTGATATGGACAGCACCATCGGACGGGGTGTATGTTGTGGTTGCTGCTTATGCGCGTGGCACTGGCCAGATTCAGAACATGTACGACGGTAAGTATTATTGAGTTGGCATGTTACCAGCCTCAACCTGACATTCAGCAGGACAACCCTATGGGCCTAAGGTTTACTCGACTCCTGGATACATCGTCGATCACTTCAGCGAGGCTGGCGTGCAAGCCGGGGTCAAGTACTGGGAAGAGCACATCCTCACACCAGAGCTCACTGCACTCCTTCGCCAGTAGGTCTACTCAGTCTTTGACTGTAGATGGAAAGTACTAACCTCTGGTATTTAGAAGCAACGGATCCATATTTGAAGACTCGCTCGAGCTCAAGTACAAGCAGCTGTGGACCCTCAACCTCACCCAAGAGTTCCAGGCCCGACGCGGATACGACATCTCGCCCTTCCTTTTGTACCTGCTCAAAGACACAAACACATTCATCGGAGACAACTCCACCGCCACCAAGATCACCAACGACTTTTACAAGACCATCACAGACCTCTACGTGGACCACCGCTTGAAAGGCGTGACCGCCTGGGCCAACACCCTCGGCCTGAAATTCCGCGTCCAGCCTTACACCCTCAACTTCGACAGCGCCTACATCGCAAGCCTCCTCGACATCCCAGAAGGCGAGTCCCTCGGCTTCGAGGGCGCGCCCGACTCTTTCCGCGTTCTCGCCACCGGCCGCGACATCGGCGGCCACACCACCATCCTCTCCAACGAGATCGGCGCCTACTTCGGCAAAGCCTACGGCGTCACCTGGAAATTTCTCCTCGGCACGGCGAACCTCGACTCCGCCCTTGGCGTGAGCCAGAACGTCATCCACGGGTTTCCCTACGAGGACTCGCTGAGTAGCCTGTGGCCCGGCTTCGCGCCCTTCACGCCCCTGGGGTCTTCGTCGAATGGGTTCGCCGATGCGTGGGGTCCGAGACAGCCGCAGTGGATGTTTGCGAAGGCTGCGAGCAGGTATTTGGCGTTCTCGCAGAAGTTGCTCCAGGAAAGCGGGGCGTCGATTGATGTTGCGATTTTGAACCAGGATTGGGGCGTCACGGTGACTTGGGGTGATAGTAGTCTCAACGACGCGGGGTACTCGTACCAGTTTCCGACGCCGTATCTGTTGGAGAAGCACGGTGTTGCAGTTCGTGATGGAGTTTTGGCGGCAGATGGACCCGGATACCGCGCGCTGGTTATCAACAACCAGACGACTATGGACATCAGCACAGCGAAGCTGGTGCTCTCGTACGGTAAAGCCGGTCTACCTGTCGTCGTCTCCGGTAACTCGCCCAGCTCGACTTTTTCATATCACACAGACCAGAAGGCTGCTGACGATGAGCTGGCTTCGATATTTTCTGATATCCTGAATCTTTCAACAGCACGCGTCATTTCTGGTCCTGAAGCTGTCCCAGAGGCTCTATCGGAGTTGGGCGTATCTTCGTCTGTTGAGTACCCGCAAGGTCCGGGAAACAATAGCCTTATAACATACAGACGTACGGTTGGGGACGGGTATCTCTACTGGATCTACAATAACGGCGACGAGCATCTCCAGCTGCCAGTTAGACTCGCGGGGGCCGGGGCACCGTATGATATCAATCTGTGGACCGGCGATGTGAAGCCCTTCGCTGCCTTCACGGCCGCGGACGGTCACGTCTTCTTGAACGTTACGCTGGCACCCGAAGCGGTGTCTACCATATTGTGAGTGCCCACACCTTGACCCAGAATATCGCTAATATCAGGTATAGCGTTGGATCGTCAAACCCTTTCTCGGTCCAGCCTCTGTCAAACCACATCACCTCTACTGATTGCCGCGCCGTTGTCGCCAATGGCAGGGTGCAAATATCTTCCAACACGACATGCAGCGCAATAACGTCGACGAACCTGACCGTTACACTCGACGCTACAAATATTCCGGAGTTCATCACGCCTTCTACGTGGACCTTGCGAGTCCAGGATTGGTCACCGCAATACCCCAACGCAGCCGGTAACGCCTCGGTAGCAACATCCAAGACTTGGCTTGCGCCCATCCAGCTGACCTCGCCGCTTGTCCCGTGGACGAATATCACCGGGCTCGAACATGCATCAGGTGTTGGCGTCTACAACACAACCGTCACTTTGGATGTCGGCAGCGGTGCGGATCTGCGAGTGCTGCTTCACATGCCTGAGGTTGAAGGATCATGGGGACTCACGATCAATGGCCAAGAGGTGGAAGGTGTGGATTGGTTCGCCAGAGAGCCAATTGACGTGACGGACTATGTTGCATTTGGCGCTGCAAATGGTTGGTATACTCTTCGACGATGGCATTTTTATCCGTACTAACGATGCTTGCAGTTCTTGAGATTACGGTTGCTACAAGCCTTTGGAACAAGTTGATCAGTGTCTGGCCGGCTGTGTATGGATCAGAGGAGCCGGTGGCGAACGGACTGGCAGGATCTGTAGTCCTGACCATGGAAAAGATTATGGTTGTATCTTAGTACTCAACCAATCTACTCGGTTGGCACCGTTTGCGATGTCATTATCAATTTGCGGATGAACCAGTCGAGAACCTGGGACCAAAATGTCTCTTAATCATTTAGGTGATGACGCTAACCTCCCAT